TTCCATGACTTTTTCCTGACTTTTCCAGGCCGCGGGAACCCTGTATACATGAACAGAATCTTTGTTTCCCTGTTGATAAACCAACACATATGCACGAAGCTTCTGAGCAAATCAGCATGAATGTGCAAATCTGGCTTTGCAGCAGCGCAACCACTCCATGGAGGAACTGGAGATGGTCTCTTTTTATACAGCAACGACATCCTTTTTGTGGGAATATATTGTGCGCACACTGAAGGTACATGCGCACTCGAAATGGTCTCCGCCAGCTTCTACGTCGGGTATCTTCTTTGCCAAATGAGGGCGTGCTTCCGGTTAGAATGGATTGCAATTGCGAGGCTTATACTTACACGAATGCGCTGTCCATCACTATGGCAAAGTTGGATAGCACACTCACTTGCTCACGCACAATGCATATCCACTCGTCGTCAGAATCGTGAAATACATCTTTGTTGAATTGCAGTCAAAGTGATATCTCGACTGAATTCGTTTAATTCTGAGTTGCCAACCACGAAGCTCTGCATCCTGCCTGCACTTACACTACATGGCAGAGAGGGAACACCATGAAAATGATCCATTGAAGAGGCTTGAGATGAAGTTTGGAAATGTGCAGATGTACATGTATATATGAGAAGGCAAACATGTACATGGCAGAAAAAGATCATGCAGGAATACTCTTTAAATGCCTTCATTCAAGTTGTACTTTTGCTGAAAAAGAAGGAAATGTTTACATGAATATGTACATATAGGTCAGCGATGATGAACTGTCTTTTTTTTGTATGTTCTGACTGCTTTGGTGGGATCTTGAAGTACGCGTCCGCGTACTTCAAACTTCAAACAGGTAGAGCAAACACAACTTCATGATGTGGAAATTTCACCTTCCAACTATAGAAAAAAGCCTATGGCTACGTACTGCATTTGGCCAAAACGCATGATCGATCACTCTGACGCGACTAAAAAATGACACACGCCGACGAATGAGCCGGTGCAAATGATATTTGTTTGATTCTATTTGGAAGCAGGACAACACAAAGGAAGAGCGAACACTCCCCGACCCCAATATGCCCCCGCTCATCTTTATTTCCAAACCTATTCTCTAAGAACATTCGTCTTCTTCCTCAAGAAATGAAAGAGGGAGTAAGCGAGAACCCAAAAAAAAACCCAGCTCTTGGGCAGTAATCCAAAAGCCTTCTCTGCAAAAAAAATCTCTCGCTGACATCGACACAAAGCTGTTGCTCATTGCAACACATGAGTGTTCAGTGTCTCCTCAGAAAGCATGGCAGGTTTTCTTTTTTCTCTTTTTTATTTAAGGCATTCCGATCTTCAACCTGCCAGGCAACTTCTTTGCATGCACATGAAGCTATCAGGAAATAATGCTTCAGCAATGATTTGGTGGGAAAAAAATACCCTAAGCAGAAACAAATCCCCCCCAAATAACAAAACAAAGCAAAAAAAAAAAAATTATTTAAATAAAGACAATCCTATCCCCAACCCAAATTGCTGGACTTGTTTTAACCCTGCCTAGGGATGACCACAAAGCCAAATTCAACTTGGATAACCTATGACACTCATCACTTCCCTGTATAATTTGCATGACAATGCAAAATGATACACTTGCATACAATGAACATGTGAATCATAGCTTAGCAAGTGGAAGATGAGCGCAACGTGAGCGAAAAGATCTCAACGATCTGACCTTATCAAGAGAAAAAAATAATTAAACAACTGTCAAGGAAAACCACAACACTCTCTCCTGCCTGACACCAAGATTTCACGACGTTATTAAAGTCCAGCCAATGGTGGCTGTCCATCACAAAGGTTTATCAACGGCCGACCCCTGGTGGCACTTTTTTTTTCTACGTCAAAGACTCTCAGTGATTTCACCTTGTGTGTGAAGACTCACGCCAGCGCGAGAGCACACCCTTCTAGCCTCAGCCACATTGCGGGGCAGAGGTAGGGAGAAAAGAAGGGCAGAATTTACAACCCCCCCCAAAAATACCTGGCTCGGATGCATGTAACTTTCATGCCTTATTCATGATTCAGTACACACGCCTACCCACTTGAGAGTGGGTGGACATGTGTACTGATACATGGTGATATTTTGTCCCCCTCCCTAAAAGAAAACAAAGTCGTCTGCTCTATGCTTGATACCAACTGAAGTAAAACAGGATTAAACGGGCACAAAACGAAAAGAACACAAAACAAAATACAACATATCAAAAAAAAAATGCACATAGAATGAAAGATCTGAAAAGGGTTTGAAGTGCACAAAACCAAATGCGTGTTTAAATGACCCACAAGGCACCCCGATGGTAACGAAATATTAGTTGGGTGTCTTTAGATTGGGCAAAGAAAATGACAGAGAAAGGCAACCCCCCCAAAAAACCACGAGGAACACAAAATGGCAGAAAAAAAACAGTGAACTCTGACCTTATCCACTAGCCCTACCCTGACTCCCTGAGTGTTAATAGCGCAATGGTATACATGTAACTGTAGAGGGCACTACAGCAATCATCCTCTGAGCTGGGTTCTTTGCCTTGACGTACTGTCATCAGTGATGAAGAGAACACTGAAGCATTTGTTGTACTTAAAACATGAAGTCCAGTAAGCATGGAATAATTCCAAGGGATTACGTTCAAGTTGGAGAAATCCCACAGAGTGAAATTTTCATACTGTGGGAACGTTTGATGTCAGAGGTGTGTAAAGAAAGTAACAGAAACAACCAAAGAGCAAGTAAGCTTTGGAGCAAGAGTCCATTTGATTTTGATGGTATATATACAGCTGTTGGAAATCTGATTCCATCATAATCTGACAAATTTGTCTTTTTTTAAAATTTCCGATTTGTCAAATCCAGACTTGGATTAAAGACATTTTGGAGAGTAAGGTACAATATGTGTTATATCCCCTGGCATCTGGTCAGAGGGCAAAGGTTCATGCTCCCACATTATTTACCCTGCCAGAGCCTTCAATCCACTGACAGGGTTATGGAGGATTTGGTGGGGAATGAGGAAGGTACAGCCCAGTTTTTTCCCAGGGCTGGATAATTCTCACCAATTGAAAATCTGAAGTAAAAATCAGGAGTAACCATCCTCCTTCACGGTGAGAGACTTCAGGATGCTTCCCAGATGAAATGCCTTGAAAGTTGAGGGTCAAAAGGCCCTTAATTCTTGACCTTGTCAACTAAAAGTCGCTCATTCACCCATTCTCTGGATGCCACCAATCTCATATCCTCCCCAGATGATCGTGTATAGCGCCCTCTATGTGCTCACACGTGACATGATGGAATCTATCATGTGACCCTGATGGAATGTTTCTCAGGTAACCTAGGGGTGTGCATTGCGGCACTCCTTTGCTTCCTTGCCTCCCAATGCAAAACATTTTATCAACCCAGACAATGTCCTGCACCACCATCACACCCCAACAGTTACCTCCTTCCCTACTACTGGTACCTTGTTGTAGACGGCGCTCACCGTGAGAAAGGTTAACAGAACAATCTTTTTTTTTTTTTTCAATTTCAAAATTTGCTGGATTCAATCAATTTTGCCCTCTGATAACCTGGTGTAATTTACACGTAGAATTGTGTCTTTCCCCACCCCCCCCTCTTTTTTGCCCTCTTCAAACGGCCTCGTCACCAGGGGACGTTATTACATGTATCCATCAATATGGTGGGGCTTTGGGGTAGGGTTTCATTTCAAGTTAATTTCAGGTGGGTACTGCATGATTTGTTATTTTCTAAATGAACTGATTAGTTCATGAATCGCAAAAAAAATTGCAGGTGGGCTAGTTCCACTCTGCGCTGGAATTCCTCTGTTGCCCCCAAAAGTACCAAAAAACCCAGCCCAAGATGCGATTGTAGCCTGCTATTTGGCATGGACATGGGATTGGCAGATGAACATAAACATAGGATTTTTTTTTTAATTTTGAAATTTAGTTCCTGGTTGGGACATGGGGTCCTGTGCTAATGCTGTTATGTCCTGCAAATGACATAGAGGGAATTGGTTGGCACAGGTCAGTGGGGCTAGGAATAAAACTGGAAACTAATCTACTCTATACCACTTAAACCAATTTCACCAGTATTATCACCAGAAAGGTCCGTACAAATACGTGTGCATCCTGGTCCCCTGTAGGTAAATTGTATGGACACCCGTACATGCATATCTTACAGTAAAATCAGCCAAAAAAAACCCCCAAAAAACAAGAGAGACCTAAACAGGTTTCTTTGCAAAGAACCATGAAATTTGCAGGAAAATAGATCTTGAAAAATATAAATCTGAAAAAGAAAGAAACCAAAATACTGCGACATTTGAATGCTGCTGGCATATTGCGAGCAAACAAACAATAACATAAATGCTGGTGGCTTTAGCTGCCGGAACATTTCAGCTTACACACTGCCAAGCCCTTTCAACAAATCTAAAAAACTGGATGCTTCAACCCCCCGCCACCCAACTGGAAGTTTTCGTACAAACGTTACTAAGAACAGGGTCTCCATATGGGTAGTTGCATAATTTCTCCTTACCTAAACAATGCAGTCTATCAATTATTTCCTAGCTGTTCGGCCGGTTCCCCCCAATGTTAGTGTTTATTTGATGGCGTCCCTGTACATTTGGCACAATATAAGTCCCCAAGCCCACCTTCTAAATGCGGTTGAGTTACTTGAACGGGTATACATGTACCTCATTTCGGTGGTTATCTAAACCAAGTCAAAATCCCAGATTTGATTCCTTGTATGAATTTAATCACATGGAAGTAAACCGTATTAATTACTAACTTACATGTAAAATTCTTAATCTAACGATATCAGTTACACTTCATTCAGGAAACCCTGATGTTTTCTCATATTCTTCACGGAAACGAAACAAAGTTATGGTGACCATTAATGAAACTGTTGTGAATTTACTGACACATCTTCAACACGTGAGCCAGAGCCATTGCTTTTGTCCCGTCATTATGGCTCTCGGCTTGGTGGCTCCCACCGTCTACAAGGTCTCACTACTTATGGGTACCTGAGTCTGCCAGGCCGGCTTTGCGCGAGGATCGCGAGCTTCCGTCGAAGGCATCGTCATAGTTACCCTTCAGTTTAAAGAGCTGCTTGAAGTGATGCTTGCAGTAGAGGAACTGTTTGGATTGGGCAAAGTTGCCGAGGCTGAAAGGAAAGGGAAAAAAAGACAGGTGTGAGTAAGAAATGAACAGCCCCGTGACAAGAATTTCATGCGCAAACCTACTGTGAAGAAAGTGAGGGTTTGATTGTGTTTGCTCAGTGTGCAGGGTCTATTCGTTCTTCACATGTTGCTGCCGTAGGCATGCAGAGCCTCAACCAGTCAACCTAACAGCTTGTACAATCGCATCAAAATTGCTTTGTCCAATTACATGGTACAAGAACTAACGCAGCACGTGCTAAATTACATAAGCAACATGCACGGGAATCAATGAAGCGGCCATATTGATTGTGTGGAGCTGCCAGATCGAGGCTCTGCATGCCAATGGCGGCAGCGTGCAAAGAGCGAATGTGAAGTCACAGCCTCAATCAGTGCGATGCAATGCACTGCTGTAGATGAGTACGGTACATTTCCATGAGAATGAGTGCTTTTGCATTTAAGTATAGTACGAACATGAGTACAAGAGCTTCACCATGCATGTAAAGTGCCCATGCGAGTACATGAGCATTTTTTGTGAGTATGAGTTTATTTTTATGAGTATGAGTAAAGTATCAAAATATGTAAATGAACCTGAGTATGAGTTACAATGCAACACTCGCAGTGCAATTATGTACTGGTAGAGTACTACTGTTCACGGCTCATTCATGCATTGAACTGAAAATAGTTGACAACCAATGATATTTCGACCAACGACCTTCCTGAGTTCTCCAAAATCCTCAGCTGTGCCAACATCACATTTGTGACATCTGCCGCACTGCAAAATTCTAGCTTTGGCCATTTTTGTCTGCAAATCTTCCGGAATCTTCCACTGTGCAAGGAACCAGTAGTTACGTACACTTTTGTGGTATGATTTTCAGGAGGCATCGAGCCAAATTGCAAAATGGTCCAACCTGGGCTCAACCGGTACCCGGTATCTCCTTCAATCCTGCATGCCAAATCCAAATGAAGGAAGATAGTCTCATGTTTATGATCTGTGACTCCTCAACATTGAGTCGGGGGTTCAAATCCAGCAGTGGGTTACATGTGTAACGACCCTTGAGTCAGTCACTTTATTCCCACTCGTCTCTCTCCACCCAGGAGTATAAAATGGGGACCTGTGAGGGGAGAGATAGTCGTTGTCTTTGGGCTTTTCGCGCCTGACACAGATATCCAGCAATGCACTCCCTTAGGGAGTTGAAATGGCTGCAGGAAAATGTTTACGGCCTAGTGAGCTGGGGGTAATAATGGTGTTGTGCCTAACTGACCATCGGAAATGGGGGATACATGTATGCACTTCATAGATGTACATGTACCTACCCATTATTACTTTTAATCCTCAATCAGAAATGCATTTGGAAGGACGAAGGAAGGTGGAGGCAAACAAACAAAATGTACATGTACATCTAAATTCCATACTAAGGGAAAGTTGCACTCAAGCTTGCACGACATATCCCCTCTCCCGGCCCCTGATACATGTACGGTCGGTCACATTTTGAAAAATCAACTGACAAAATGTCGACACTCATGCACTGAGGACCTAAGATGTCTGTGAACCATTCTCGTCACGCATGCTGTGAAGGCTATTCAGGCCAGTTGAAAGTGCACGTGCACACGTGCTGCACGCTGAGCGTGCATGCAGCACCTGCGAGGAACGTTGACCTCCTTTAAAAACAGACAGTGGCGGGGGCAGGCAAACAGCCAGAAATTCTTCACGCGGCTCCCGAAAAATTTCTGGTCTGGAAATTTTTCAATATGTTATGGAAGGAGAGGGGGCGGGGAGAACCTAAAAGTTGGGATATGTATTTGGTGCGCTGAAACATTTCATGTCTATCTCTGTCAGTTCCCACTCGGCAGAAAACAGAGCAGAGCACTTGCCTTTTTTTCCCATGCAGAGCAGGAGTTGGGCAAGAACCTACAAAATATCCCTTCCATGTACATTGCTTTTCAATTCTGATGTAATTTTTTGTCTGTGAATGACTCTGGGGAGAGGAAGATGGATGAGATTAGGGGACAACAAAAAATGTAAAAAAAAAAACACCCAGCAGAGCCGTTGTGATGACGACAAATATCCTCAGGGCCTGTGAAACATGTAGCTCAAATGGCACAAAGTATGGTGGCTCACAAGGGACAATGTCTCTCCCAAATGGCTGCGAAAATGTGAAAAGTCCTAGAAAGTAGTAACACCTGAATGACTCCATCTCTGAAAGTCCACACTTTTGTGGTAGAAATTCCTGAGATTGTAAGAACTTATTCCCTTGGATATAATGGTATGATGGGCATATAGACATTCATGGGCAGCCATATTGAAATTAAAAGTGAGGTTAACTTTTCGTTGTTCCAAAGTTGGGAGTAAAAATTAAAGCAATAATATGAAATTTCATGACGAATTACCATACTTCCGTCTAATCTGATGAGTAGTTTCAAATTTGGGATTAAGCATATGTATGAGTACCAGAAGTAATTTTATAAGCCAGATTTGGAACAATATTGATAGGGAAGCTTGGGATATATGCCAATCACAAAATAGTCTGGTTCTATCCTAATCAACAGTTCACAATTTATAAAATAGATTCAGGGAATAAGATCAGCAATGGCTTCCTTGTGAATTTGTCTATTATTGGAGGTATTATACTTACCAAGAGAACAAAATATTGGATTCAACTCTACGCGGCAGACGGAGACATTAACCTAAAAGAGTCGGGGGGAGGGAGCAAACCTGCCTCCCCAGTTTTTTTTTTCTTCAGATTTTGCCGCAGCACATTTCTTTCAGAAGTTGAACATGGCTTAAGGAGTTTTAGAGTAACTCTTAGCGGCCACTTGACACAGTTTTTGCAAAAATTCAACATACCGTTCTCACGCAGCGTGCACTTTCCCCAGATGGGTCGGCCAAACTGTGTACTTTTCCCACATGCCCCACTGGGGCCGTACTGGCCCCACGTAGCCATAAACTCCAAATGACCGCAACAACAAAGCCGTGACTCCATTTGAGTTGAATCTTTATATTTGTAATGATTCGGAGTGTCTGTACATGTATATGCCTGCCAAGATTTTAAAAAATTGGATGTGGCTTAGCCAAGTTCTTGGGGGGCTGTGCGATGGGCCAAATAACCCAGCTCTTTTAGGGTTTAAAGTGGGCAGAGGAACGGGAGGGCCAGTTGCGACTCACCTAAGGCACGTGTTGCATTCTGTGCAGCGGAAGCACGTCTTGTGGTAGGTGGTGCCGTCCGCTGTGACCTTTTCCATGGGGTAGACTGTCTTCTTGCAGACCACACAGCGGTCATTGGGTGTGCTGATGGCAGTCTGTTTCTGAAAGGACACAAAGGATGGGGGCAGGTGTGTTAGGAGCTTTGAAAATATGCATGACAGATTGGCTAAGAACCTGTTGGTATTTACAAAACGATAATTCGAGAACAACGCACGCATGCGAGTTGGCATATGGCAGCAGTGACAGGGCAGATACTGTGTTGAGTATCGCTGTTCCCATGTGACTCTGGTCATGCTTTCTTTTGTACACGCACATGCAATGTTGAAACACCAATCAGGCTCCCTGCTGACAACTGAACGGTGCAGAGGCTAGACCAATGATCGAAGGCACAAGATGGATAACTCTGCCCAAAAGGTGTAATCACCATGGGCGCCATTTGAGCAAGCAACACGCCTGCGCGGTTCAAGGTGTATTCATGGTGAAGTTCTCCTTGCACCGCTATGCGGCGCTATACGATCTTTGGGCTTGACCAAGAACATGTAGTACATGTACAACTTCCAAGGCCATCTTGCAAGGGACCTTCCTTCTAACTCCTCCACTGTGCAGGAAACCAAAGGCAGGCTCTCCAGGGGAAAGTGGCGGGTACCCTAACACCTTCCTCAATCCCTCAAAATCCTTCCAAAACTACCTGTGCATGGATTTTGGAGGATCTGGGCATGTTCAAGGATCGCCCAGTGCTAGACCTTAAGTTAACAGTCCACCCATACAGAGCGCATGCCCAGAACAGCAAGAAGGGACCTGGTCAAGTCTAACCAAAAATTGGACAACGTGCACGTCTGCTTTTAATAGTCAGGCTAGTTGAATGTTATTGTACTCGTACAAATGATCTGGAATTTACTTGAGCAGTTGTTATAAGGCCCGACCGTGGCATTTCAAGGAGAGATAAATGATAATCAAAGGGCAAGAAAGGATGAAGATTGAATACTTGCACATAATGTGAGAAACGAATGTTCCAATTCCATTTGTAATGAGAAGCACACTTGCATTCCTGACATCTGGTGATGAGTGCGTTCCTTGATTGGGACATCGCACACTCTCCCAATCACACACAACACACCGCGTGCATTCTCAATCAGAAATAAGTGTATTCCTGATTGGAAGGGGCATATAGACGTGCACATAGACGCAGGATGCACTGTTCATGAACATTTGCAGACAGAACGGCGCATGTTGGAACCAGTGTCCACGTTTCACTTATAGCACATGTAGTCCTCGCTAGGTTAATCCATCGTTATCAGTGGTGTGTGTGTAAGAGCCTGTTCTTTGTCTGCGGATGAGTTGAATATTGTAGAGTAGAACAATACATTAGGAAACACAATGTCCTAACCTCGGTTGTGTACAAAAATATTGAGTGGCTCAGAGTGGATGGGAGAAGTATTTTCACAAGGCAGATCTAGTCTCTTCCGTTTCATGAGAACTGGAAGTGAAACAGAAAAATCCAGATTTCTTCAAGCGAGCAATAGTATTGATCCTAAAAGATTTGCTTCATATATCTGCAATACAGATCCGTGTCTGCTGCATCCATTAAGTCTTTGAAATCAATAACGGAAACGGATGTCAACATCTTTAGGGCACATCTGTTGACGTTGCCGCCATGACTGTGGGTGTCACATAAGGTCGCTCTGCTGTTCACAAATTTGTGAAGTTCAAATGTTAAAAAGCTGCACAGCTAGGATCAGGGATAACCCCACAGCTGTTGAACAGTAAGTCCTATGCACCATGGCCTGAATGGGACTCTTTAAGCCTTAGGGAATAATGAATGTCACGTGATGTGAGTTTCATTCATCAAATGACAAGGATCACTGTGTCATACAGTTACAAAGGCAACAACAAAACATGGCTGCTTGGTGATTATCCTCACCAGATGCTGTTGCCAAGTACATGGTAAAGAGTGCCCTCTTTTGTTCACATGTGAGGCCCATTATCAGGCCACAGCAGTCTGTTTACATACTGCACAGAGTGCCTCCAACGAGAAGGTGGGCAGGGACTTGGGCCAAGTCTATTTCACGCACCACACAAAAATCAAGTAAGAGTCTGGATTGTTAGTAATTTATTGTTTCCTAATCGCATTTACGCTGCGTACCACGGAGAATCATGGTTCAGGAAAAGATGACTTAATCATGTCACATCTTGATGTCTTCACTGACCCCTGAAACACCACCAGCTATCCATCAATTTTGAAAGCCGTGGTAGGCTTTCCAAGACCCCAACAATTGGCTTAACATTTCCCACCAACTCAAGAGAAATCCATTTACAGATATTTCACAAAATCCTGAGAAAAATTTCAGTAAAGTTGGAAAATCTAATACCAAACTCCAATTTTATCACTGAATTACGCTTTCAAGACAAAAATTACTGCTTTAATTAAACCAAAAGGAGCATTTTAGTAAGCTACACATGTGTATGTACATACGAGTACGACACTAAAAGCTTTAAATAAATGTTTTTAAGACTTTTTTTTTAAATTCATCGCACTTCATTTTACCCTTAACTCTTAGACAAACTCTTCAAAAGTACAAGTATATACAATGTACATGTATTGTACATTGTACATGAACACGTATAGAAAACTGTGTTACATCTATTTCCTTGTTTCATTTTTTTCCCTTTTTACAATAGCAACATGTACTGTACATGTACAGTGTACATGTACAGTACATGCAAAAGTACAATTGTACACTGTAAATACACATGAAATGCAACAAGCATTTTCAATATTAATGGACACAGTCGAACCATTCCCGCTTTCCTGTTAATAGTGACAAACCAATTCTTTATTTTTTTGCTTTTTCAACATGCAGAACATATGGGAGGTGACGACGACTCCCTTCGAATCAATGAAATATCGGAGACTTGGGAGTGTCGACGACCACATTCTCTGTGCATGTTCCAATGACATTGAGTTGACTGCAAATGTGTGAAGGACTGGCCAGCTGACAGGGAAGACAAACAAGGCAAAGTTTGGTTGATATATCATGCATTTTTCAACACTTCCCTCAATGTGCTGCACTCTACCATCCTCGTACCACTGACATGCCCATGGACAATATGCTACTTGTCCAAAGAATCCCGGCTGGCCCAAAACTTTGGTTTCTTGGAATGGTAAAACCACAGCACATTTCACTGGTTATTTGTCAAAAAAAAAACAAGAGCTATGAAGTGGTCTTTTGTTTTCAGGTTCAACACCTTCTTTTTCAAACTCTTAACCACAGACGTGACCGCAGGCAAATGCTAACAATGCCATCTCCTCATTTTTCCCCCACAGTGCAACATTCACTGAATTATTGGCATAATTTTTGTAGCCTCAAATGTTACACTGGCCGGGATCTGGCTTTTCCTTTGTATGGGCGCTCTAGGCATTGGACTGGTGGCACTGTTTTTCAGGAAAGTGGCCCAGTCCGTCTCTCGCACTGTAACTGAAGATCACTTTGTGCGTGATGGTATGCATTGTCGAATGGCAAGATGTTCAACTTCAAGCACGGGATGAAAGTGAACTCAGTGAAATGGGGCGGGCTTGGCGTCAACCTGTTTGCTGTGTTTTGGTGACTGAGGTGAGCGGACATCCTGTCCTGCGAGCAGCCCTTTCATTTTTAGGGATCAAAAGCAACCAGAGAGGATGACCCCCCAAAGCTACATGTACTTTTAATCCATCCTTTCCCTTCCCATCTAGGATTGAATAGCTGTATATCCGCTCTGAGCAGAACAAAAGACATGAAAGAGGGCGTGTTTGTAAATAAAATTGACAGTCCTTTTGGTACCAACTCACCACATAGGTGTCCAAGTATAAGTGCGTTTGACGCGGAGCATGATGAGTATTCACAACAAATTTATTCCGGCATGCATGGTCTTAAAATAGCGTACACGCAGAACGCGTGCAAGAACCCGCTCGTAACAACTTCTCTTTCTCTCGCCGATTGGGGGCGCACTTCAGCCAACCAGGATCAACCAGAATGTGGAGCAGTGTAAATGGAAATTTACCCGAGAACAAAATCTGCCCCCTCCACCTCCCAGTTTTACAAGTAAACTCAGCACTGTGCAAAAATATGTGTGAACATGTCACATTCAGTTTCATAAAATACTATGCCTTGGGATAACTCATGGTCTCTTCCAACACCCATGCTCGAAAACAGACATGCAGATTCAGCGGCGGCGGAACAATTCTTCACGGTGAGGGGTAAATCGTGAGACCATCAGGCATCGGTCATTAATAGGCCGATCCATAAAACCCTACCCCATTACACAGACCCTGCAAAAAGTAGGGGGAGGAGCATGCCCCAGTGGAACAAGTGGAGGGGGCCACTGCCCCCTTCCACTTCCAGTGCCAGTGTGTTGATTATGTGCCTATATGGATGCATGTCATCTCTCCTGCAGAATGAGGTATGGCACCTGTACCCTACAGAGTACCAAACTGAATACGTCACAGGCAGAGTTACGTGTGTAAAGGGCATTAGCGAGAGAACCAGCGCGTGAACCAACACGTGCGCGTAATCCATTCATTTGCACTTCACTTTCTGATTCACAGTTACATCTCACTTTGGCACTCTATAAAGGTACACATATGCACCTGCTACATAACCGAAAGAGAACACAGACACTGGAAAGTCCGTCAGTGGCTGCCAAGCTCTCCCTCATCCCTCCACTGGACAATGGCACTTCTGGACCTGCCCCTTTCACTGGTCTGCCATTCCATATTTACCAACCACTGTGTGAACACTTTGTTCTCCGACCTCAGATCTCAAGGCGTATTGAAGCCCCCAAAGTCTCCATCTCCAAGTAGAATTACAGGTACCATACATGCCGCATTGCGGGCAACAGCGACAAAATGATTTTAAAAGTGGGGGGGAGGCAAGCCCTGGCCATTAGACTGAAAAGAATACAATTAATTATGAAGTTGTGCTGTACCTCCAATGGCTGATAGGCCTATAAAGTGGGGGGGAGGGGCAAACTAACTACCTTTTCAAAGGTGGGGGGCAACGGCTGGTGATAGCGGGTACAGAACTAGCTCTGAGTGCCCTTTAAAAACACACCACAGACCCAAGTAAAACCTACAGCAAGAAAACAGAGGTCAAAACAATGGTACAATGGTACAATGTATACATGTACATGTATGCCTACAATGTGCCAGTACGGTATTGCATACGTACTGTACATGTACAGTGAAAACCAAATGAATGCGTGTCATCTCACACAAAATATCACATGTAATTGTGCACATTCATGTATAAGATCTGGTTGCATATGAAAATATGAATCATCAAATTCTCTTGTGGCTTCCTTTCTCCTTTTATGGGCAAACTGACACAAAGCTCTATAGCTGCATGCATACATCTGCAATGTAACTTGACATGCCATTCTGGTAAACATGGAAAACTTTTATGTTCATATTTTTATTGGCCCCAGCATACAGCAATGCACATTCTGTTATGGTACAAAACGCCCAGTGTTTACAGCCCGATGAAATTTTCAAAAAGTGGGGAACCAGAACAAGCAAGGACATTCTTGTCATGTACTGTAGGGTCTGAGTGATTTATATCGTTGACATTGTGCCACATCCTAAGCAAAGAATGTAAACATACTGTACATTTTTTCTAGGATCGAAGGGCAAAAAACTCTCAGACAAATAGCAGAGCTTGCTTTTTGTCAACTTTAAAAAAGTCTCTGCAGGAATTGCCAAAATGGATACAGAGCCATTTTAGGCCAACTCAAGGGTGACGCTTTCATAGGGCATTTTGCAAAGTGTGGCTCTGCACATTCTAAACTGTATAATAGGTTAGCATGATAAATTGTTTTCTATAAAAGAGAAAACTTCACCGCATAGCGGGTGCTGTCTTTACAAAGCTAGGAAATCATTACAATAGCAGAGATACCAACCTCTCGACACCAAAAACCAGACTGAATATCCTAAAAAATCAGACTTTGGAGAGAAGAATCAGATTTTCAAACAAACTTGACATTACCACTTGCCTGTTGGCCCCGGGCCAGCAAAGCTGTTAGAAAAATGTTTTACTGGTAAGAACAGGCAAGTAAATCGTATGCTCTTTCATCTAATTAGAAAATTGTGAAGCATCAGTAATAATTCTTACGATGCAAAAAGGGTGTTTAAATGCACAGGGAAAAATAGAAAATGTACAACTTAAATTGCTTGCATATTTTGGGCTAATCAGAATTTGGTAGAAGCCAGAAGTGAGAAAAATTACAGTATAGACTTGAATTACACTCATGGAAATATGAGCCGCATTCCTGTTAGCTGACATTATAAATCAATTACAAGAAAAGCAAGAGTCAGGTAGGCCCTATCTCAAAACATCAAATGAATTGCAATATGTGACAAGATTTTTGATAAACTATTTTGGATTTGATTATAATGAAATGTCTCAGGAAAGTATTAGCAAGTTAATAATACATGAGTGAGAGAACATCAAATGACCAAAAATAACCCATCGAGTCAGATCACTCCACAGAAAATGTTTTGTAGTAATAATAAATGTTCTCATCAGTCTCATGAAATTTCAACTATACTGTAGCCTTTCCGGCCCGGCGTAAAGTACATATTGCACTTTGCAGAGGTATACAAAAACTTGGCAAAATTACATGTTTCTAAATTTTTTGAAGGTTGGATTAACGCCAAAAAATGGGCATATATCAGACTTTGTTATGACAGAAGTGGTGCTCGAGCCGGTGCATGTGCATGTACACCTACGTATGTGTAAGTCTTGGCTGTAAACTTGCCGTGTACATGTACATGTAGGTTTCATTTGATTCAGAATGCTTACGAAATGTACATGTACATGTACGGTACACTGAGCTCATGTCCACGTGGACAAAGATATCTGATAGACAAGACAAGATACAGGCCCACATGCATGACATGTATAAAGGTCGAAGTCTTGCAAATGCAGCAACATTGTATATCTTTTTTTTAAAAGTTACAGCTAAGCTGCATGTGGGACCCTCAACAGTTTCTGGGTAACAAGACCTGTTTAAATTTCAAACCTATTATTTCTAACCCATTTTTCTTTCAGTCATTTTTTTTTGTATCCCCTTGAAAGTTGCACGTACTGTACATGTACATGTAAATCTTTGATTAATATCTGTGCAAACAGTGGCGCTAAACATAACTTCAATAACGGTCACACACAAAAAGTGCTTCCCTTTGCTCCGAGTTTGTTTGGCACAGAGAGAAAAAAGGAAGAGGTTCCAGGGTTCAGGGCAGGGGATTAAATATTTTTTTGTATAAATGGTTGCCAACTTGTTGAAAGTCCGTACCATGCCAACCAGGAACAGTCAGCGTGGGCACAACCCAATGCGCAGTACAAACGGCCAATATATTAAAGGAGATGTTGGGTATATACAGATATATACATGTACATCTACCAAGGTTTCTTCACTGACAATGTAAAGCATAATCTCAAGATCAACAGGCCAAGGTGTACATGTACATGCAACATACGTGTAGGCTGGGCAAAGTTTTTTGAAATTTTTTTTCAGTATGGTAGGTCTCAAGTAGCGCTAGAATATATTCCAGCTTATTCAGAACTTAAGTTCAAACTTTTTGAAATTCACTACACCCTAATGTACATGGTACGGTCAAACCCGACTTCTCCGTGGACCACTACCAGTGTGTATTAAATGCAGGCCATTATATACACTCCTGGAAACAAGAGTAGGATTCGAATCCTCACACTGGCAGCAGAACTGGGGGGAGGGATCAGGGAACCAGTGGTCCCCCCATTTCGACTGCTGGGACCTAGCCCCCCTCCCACTTTTTGCGGGTCCTATACATGAAATTGGGTGTGGCTCAATGGATTGACCTATTCCTTGCTGATGCCTGATGGTCTAACAACTCCCCCCCCCAGAAAATCGTTCCACCGCCGGTGAATCCACATATTCCTGTTAATCACATGTAATACAGGCATCTTGACTGCTAAAGACCATCTCTAGTGGATAGACTGGTCTCCAATGAATCTGTACTTTTGAACAACATATACAAAACAAGTGCAAAAATGTACACATGTGCATGGAGGCCATAATTCCTGAAATTCTATCACAGGACACAAGGGAGGATTCAAACCCACGTCCTCTTGTTTACAAGTACAAAAGACAACTAGATCATTGAAACCACCTTTGGTGGATACAGGCCTCTGATATACATGTACTTTCAAATACGCGTAGTAAGATAAGCCCCAAAACATACATGTACATGAAGACAAGCAACCACAGGATGTGACAGCAGGATTCAAACCCACATCCTCTTGTTTACAAGTGCTCGTAGGGTAGATACATGTATCTTGACCACTGAAACCACCTTTGGTGGATACAGGCCTCCAATATACATGAACATACACTTTCTAATAACATTACAAGGCCCACAACGTACATGCAGAAAGAACAGAGTTCAAGAAATCTACCACACCGTACAACAGTGGGATTCGAACCCACGTCCTTTGGTGTGCAAATAGTAAAAACATCCTGACCACTAAAAACATCTTGGGTGGACTGATGATACCATGGGCTTCCCACATGCTGGTAGACTTTGGAAAACCACTGTGAGCACAACACCCTAACATGCAGAATGCAATACCCTAAACTGAAGAGGTATCCATGTCCACATCCTCCTGTTTCCGAGAAATCTTTAACCACAGTTGGTGAAAACACCTCTGTTGGCCCCTGACGGCATCCACCATCTCCAGGATCTGAATCAACCAGTGGGGTACTAGCCAGAAAACTCAATAGTGGGATGGTTTAAGCGCTGACCGCTCCGGTTTAATTCGGCAGGAAGTAACGGGATGTCAATAACCTTGTTGACAATTTCTGGGCAACTACAGATATCTCACCAGTGTCACCCAAATGGATGACGATTGGCTTCGACCATCAAGTCGATTATTGTGAACCACTAACCCTGAAGCAGGGTCGCATCGCTGGCCATCAATAGCCACTAATTTATCAGTACGGCTGGAACAACTGAATTGTATGAGACGTCACTGACCATGAATATTAATGAGAGTTGCAGCCCATGGCAAAATGTGAGTGACAATGACATTTTACAAACTGGCTGGGTTATGGTCGTTGGAGTATGACTTTACTGTGCCAGCAGTGCACAATTGGTCAAAAAGCCATCAACTATGGTCCGCACTCAAACATGCCCTCTGATGCGTGATAAAAAAAAGTCCCCAATGAGGTTGGCTGCATTGGCAAATTCTTTCTGGCGCACAGATATCTGAAAAAGATTGATGAACAATCATCCCTGGAATGGAAGCCTGACCAGCGTGATGTGATCCCTGGCAAGTTTATTGCACGTCACAGGTTATAGTTTTTGTAAACACAGTCTGGAGTTTCGAGGGCTGAAAAAACATCAGTTAAAAATCCCAGGCTTAAACTGGGAAAGTCTGAAAAAAAATATTAAAATGCACATACAGAGCAAAGTCAAAGCAGCATACCCCATACGCAAGACTATGTAACACTTTCGACAAAAGGCCGCGATGAGGAAATCAGTTGGCAAAGGGGGGAAAAGCCTGGTGTGCCTGACATTCCTGAGCAGGCAAAAACCTGTACTCACACTCATCCAAATGTGGATCCTAACCAGCAGCAAGAACATGAAGAAATTACGACAGTGCATGTACAGCTTGCATCATGGTGCTATTTGCACAGAACCGTCATTGGTGAAACGTACATGTATGCATAAATATACATGTACATGTATATATACAGTATGTTACATACATGTACACGGGCAGGCTTGCTAGTTACTGCAGTACATGTACTGAGGTGGAAAGCTTGCAATAGCACCATGCAAGGATACAATCTCTTTGTGAGTCCATGTACGTAGGCTGGGACCATGAGACTGAAATTAGACAGGAATATAGTCCACGTACATGTAGGCGACGAAAGAAGGGGGATTAAAGACTTGGGGGATATGGAAACTCACCCATTTCGGACGGCCGTTCTGGCTCTTTTCGGGGATCTCCTTCACCGGGGTTTCCTTCGCCAGGGTCTCTTGAGCGGGAGTCTCCTGTGCCTGCATCTCAGACAGCTGCTCGACTGTCTCGCCGGTTGTCTCGGCTGCTACATCGGCAGCTGGTGCCTCGCAATCGTAATTCTCCGACATGTTTAATAAGTACTAATGGCGTTGGGTCTTCAGTGAAAGTTTAAAAGATTATTCAAAATTCCACTGGAACGGGAACAGCAAACTGTACTCTTAGTCCTCGAAAGTTGTACAAACTTCTTCACGGTTACAAAAATATACGCCGACAAAACAAATACAGAACTGTTTTTAACTCCGAATAGACTTGAAAAGATGTCTCCTACTGTTGACAGTGAGGCCGTCAATTGTAGGAAATATGACAAGCATTCCAAAGACGAGTCAGTTGAATACTGGAGTCAAGGCTGAGGATGTGTAAGCCGAGTGATGGTTTGGAATGTCAAGTTGGCCCACAGAATGCCGGCAAAAGATCACAGGTCAGAGTTCAGGGAGCAGGGGCAACACCCACAGTGATGCTGCTTGTTGATGCTGCTATGCTGCAGACTGGATAGACTGCCTGGTGGGTAAAGGATCAGGAACTCGGGACCTGTTGCTGGGTGGAAGTGCGTGAACTGTACGCATAACCTGCCAGTTATCATCCAGATAAGAGTGCTGGTTCTGTGGTGGATGTTTCTTTGCCAAACTCTGGTTGCCTTAGTAACAAAAATTCTTCCTCACTGTAACCATGGGAAAAAAATTGCACATGTACATGTATTACACTGTTAAAAAAAGGACCCTAAAAATTTCATCTCTCTTTGGGTGAATTGCAAAAATGAAAGAAAAAGCAGACAATTACAGAGCCTCGCTTTCAACTTCAGTTCCAAAAATTGTTTTGCCATATGGTGAATATACTGAAAACAAATTGTCCCTTCGTGATCAGGAAAAGCGCACTGAAACCTGGTATCATATTCCAGGATCAATTCGTTTCAAAGGTCAGTGCTACCTGTAATTCAAATCACTTTCTCTACATGTACTTCCTCATGAATTGCATGCACAGTCCATTTGTATTTCAATCTGCTCCATTTTTGGGAATGGGCACAAGAGTCAGTAATCACTTATTCTCTTCACTACGCATTTACAAGATGCCGCTTTGCAGTGGTCTTTTAGGTACTTTAGTCTACTCAAGCGATGGCAGTGAGTCCTACAGTCAGAAATGTGGCCATCCATTGGTCACACCAACTCTGGTAGGCAGGATTTGACAGAGTGCTACATGTACGTACTTCGTCCCAATACAAATTAAATCTCTGAGCGAGATAAGTCTTGAAGGTTTGCATGGTGAAGAGGTATAATAGAAAGTAGGTTTGCGGCAGCACCATGGACGCATCTCTTTTGTGAGTATTTGTGGTTCTGAAAAGAACCAGTGGTACTCGACGTCCATGGTGCTACCGCAAACCTACTTTCTATTAAATCTCTGAGCAGTTTTGCCATAAACCATCACCACAGTCTGCACCGAGACCAAGATACAGCCTACATGTAATTGACACCAATTTGAAGTGGGCCAAAATTGATTGTATTGAGAGTGTGGAATTGGTCTGCTCACTGTGCTGCTAAGCCTGCAGCCTTGGGGTATTTTTTTTTTCAGATTACTGACGTCAGATAAGAGGAGTCAGAAGGGTGACATCAATCAGTGACTGCGGACTGGAGTCCAGACAGACTCGTCACCCAGCACTGTGCGACACAACCGTGCTGTCACTCACGTGTCGCCAGTGCATCATAGGCAGCAGCAATTTCCTTAGATAGCATTCAACAAAGGCTCTCATTAGGGAACAATGATAAAACACCGAGTTTTGACAGCTGCAGTTTGGAAGGTACATGTACGTGTAAATGTAATGTACATAATGCACATACATGTAGGTTTCGACACATGTACATGTATGTATTAAACTGGATTATGATGTCACAAAATGCTCCCGCTGAATTCCATGTACACTGGTACTCGGAAACGAGTGAAACATACTGAATTTGGATGCGATCCAACCCAACCAAGTGACTCAGAAGTGGTGAATATGTTCCTCAGCTGATTTGGCTGACAGGCCATTAGAACAGATCACACACAATGACATCACTAAGACCTGTCAACACTGCAGTCCTCCTGCATTATGTCCATTGTCATCAGAAGGTCAAACTGAGCCATGTATCAAAACAATGAGCTTGTGCTGTCCCTGCTGTTTGCGAGGTAAAATTAGAATGAATCATACAGTCTTTCAGAATTATTTCATTGGATCTTGACCCCCAAAAATATACAGGGTACCGGTACCTTCCAAACAGCCCAGTACACCTTGTGCCCGAGTTAATCTCCATGCACAGAGTAGCAGCTGTCTCTAACTGGCCAGTTTTGATTTAGAACACAAGAAAATCTACATGAACCGGGATGTCAAGGAAGAAAGAGAGAGGACTTAACGGCTGCTTTCAGTTTTATTACACTGAGCCCACAATAAAGCATGGAGGTAATTTTCTCCCCAATGTTCCCACTGGAGTCAAGTCTGTCCAGCCATGGGTCCAGCAAACTCACATCCAGCTGACTGACGTCGGTCTGCATGCATTGTATTTTCACGAAGGAACACAAATTGGTAATTAAAATGGCTCATAACGTGCATAAATACCGAGATTTTCTGTAGGTAGCCTAGTGTACAATGGACATGTATGTACCTTCAGCCTCATGAATCTAGTCTGCCTGTCAAAGACCGCAGAATGACAACTCTCCAGCCAAAGTAATGGTGAGAAAATGACGCTGGTCGTAAATTCCCGGCTCTCCAGAACACTGGGCAATCCGGGTGGTTATTCGGAAGACCAAACTGACAATGACTGAAGTGAAGCCGCTAATGTGCAAACCCGCTGATACCAAGAGCCGGTATCTACTTCCTATTGGTATTTCACCATCTGTGCCTATGCATTATTATGACTTTTTCCTACAGGGCACACCACTTCCAGTGGTTAGGGACACTGGTCCTGCTATGCTACCACACAGGGGAAAGCCTTGGAACGGTCCATTCTAAACCACCGGGGTGTTAGCAAGAGCGGTGGGGAGGCTTTTGTTGTTCAACTTGACTTGGGGACTGCTAATAGCCTCAGTGTCAACTTATGAGTACTGTGGAAGAACAAACAAGTACAAAAGCCATAGAATTGACATCAGCATTTCAGGACTTTCACCGGGAACACTTTTGTCCAGTGAAAGCACAATCAAAAACCAAGGGGAACATGTGATTCTCAAGGGTTTGGCTAGTATGCCTGCCAAATTGTGTGACTGGCTGGCCCATGAATAAATCATTTCAATTTCTGTGAATGGATGAGTAAGCAATGTAGGAATGCCTAAGCTGGAGGACTAACCGATGTGTAGATATGCACAATGTGCATGTTTAGAGGCATTGCAATCTTCCACGGTATGGTTCCAATTATTCTATCGAAAATGTCATTGGCAAACCGGAAAACTTGCTTGTAACCATCAACAAGCAGGTTCTGCTAATGGTACCATACCATAACTCCATGATTACGTGTACATCAGGCAAATTATTTTTCTGTACATTGGGGAATCATGACACAGTATTATGTACATGTAGGTATGTTACAAGCACAAATCCATCACGAATGTACCACAGGGCCCAATTTCATGGCGCTGCTTACCGCAAGCGAAAAATCTGTGCTTACCGTAGCAGAAAATTCTGTGCTTACAGGGAACGAATTTCACAGGGTGGCGAGGAATTTTGGCTTGTGCTTGAGCATGCATACATCCCGTAACTAAGGATTCTGTGATTAAAAGGTAATTAGTGAAAAATTTTTTCCGCTAGGGCGGTTAGCGCAGAATGGAGATCCTAAGCAAAGAATTCTGCGCTAAGCAGCACCATGAGATTGGAGCCAGGTACGAATGTTGCTGTGGGCCAGACGCCTTGAACACCAGCTAGGCAAGTTTACGGGAAAAAAAGGACGTTGTCTTTGGATATACGGAATGGTCAAACTCCACATTAGAGCCACTTGCAAAAGTGGGTGAGTGGATGGTGGGTGGGGGGAAGGACACAACATGCACATCTCTGTGCTTAATTAAACTGTACGTAGGTTTAAATGGGGGAAAAATATCAAGTTAAAAATGAGTGTGGGGGGGTAACCACTTTGAATATGCCCACTGCCAATGAAAAATTTTGGAAACCATGAAACTCAAATCTTTGGCTCAACTGCGAGTCAAAAAAGATTACAAATACCTTGGTACATTAATCATTAGATTTGACATTCTAAACAAGCACAAACAATGTTCCTACCAGCGAAAAAGTGTAATTTTTTCTCCAGAAATTTAGAACACTGACGTTGACAGACCTGAAGACCTCTCAAAACTGCATCATAATCTTAGTAAAGACTTGAACATTAATTTTAGATGAACATGAACATGTGCATTTATCTATCTCTACATAGGCAGCAAATCATCATTTTATTCAAAGTCCCCTTTTCTTCCTCAATGATAATTGCTCGTTACAATTTGTTGGTGCATGTAATGACGTACTGTTTATAGAAGTGCCACTGTTTGAAGAATTATGTGTTGACACAAGTGAATAAAACGACCTTTGAAATTTGGGCGTGGTTAATTGATGTCACCTGACGGTGGCCAACACACATAATGGGAAAAGTGCACATCACTTTCAGCATCTACATGACGGTGATTGAGTTGGCAAATATTAACAAAAAAGCAAACGGACCATGGAAATGGATACACATGGATCTTACAAAATCACCACTTAGTTCTAGAAATTGAATTTGTGAATGCAAGGCAAACACTAATAAGACTGCATGCATTTGCACCTTCTGGCCACAGAAAGCACTGTGCTCAAATGATGTATCTGCTGTGCATGCTGGCCAAAAAAAGAACACCCCCCCTACATAATGATACTGCCCACTACCAAATATGGCCTTACCACAATGCCTTCATTCAACTACATCCACCACATTATCTTAAAGGGGGAGGGGACAATTATTGATGAGGGCTTGGGGGGCATGTGGTTAGCAGAACTTATGTCCGTGTAGGTGTACATGTAAATACTTGTAAGTGGTACTTGAAGGATCCGTAATTGAGGAGGGAATTTTAATGCATAAGCCAGGTTCAGTATTAAACACATCCCAAAAAGGGACATTGTAACGAGGCCTTATCACTTAACGGGAAATAAACACAGGAAAAACTGATCGTTGAGGATAGAGGGAAGTTCCTGCTTCCCAAAGGAGACAGAAAATCTGATAAAGAAAACAACTGTGGCCACCCATGTGGCCACAACTGTGTGGGGGTACACCTACATGTACATATGTACAAGTATGTACTTGTTCATAAGTGATACTGACATGCCACAAAGACTCCCCTCTGCAATCACATGCACTGAAGGTTCCCGCCTGAAGGTCGTGAACTTTAGTGTTCAGGTATGGTCCACTGTTGCATTGTGGTACATGTACAACAGTACCAGCAATCAGTGAGAAACCCAAGTTGACTAGTCATGGGGAAGTGACAAGACAAAAGAAAGGAAATAAAAGGAGCGAAAGCAAAGGATCAAAAGCAACAAAGCTTGTATTGTGTACAACTCAGATATTATAGCTGTGGAAGACTATAGCCGGATGCAATCCTGACATGGCACATTTTGGCCTATTCTGCAAAGTGTTGATCCAGATCAAAAACCAAGTAGATTTATGTGCATCTGCGTGTACAAAGCGAGCTCGCATACTTTGTGATGAGAACAGAATTTCTTCAGACATCATTCCCTTTACAAAATATGGTCCAAACTGGGATCTCAGATCTGACAATTTATTTCGTGCAAGGTTCCAAACACTTGCCATTGAATACATAAACAGTACAAATATCCTTGGACCTCTTCTGGCCTCCCCGAAGCAGAAGGCCTGACACAGCCATGGTGTTAGCACTGTTACATTGTAGAAAACCTTGAGCCCCTGGTGTCATAACACTCAGGGCTAAACAGCAAACAAACAGTCAACAATTTTGAATCACATGGTCCTTTCTCTGTTCACAAAGGCCCATGTACTGGGAAGGACAATGCTACCAAGTACCTTTTTCGGACTGAAAACTTCCCTGTGGGGCCCACTGCAGGTTGCACTTGAAGGGAAAATTGGAGAGGCCCAATCAATGTTCATAATACCAGTACTCTTGGAAGACTTCAAGTTCCTATACACTGTACACGCAGCCTACATGTACATGTACATGGACTTGAAATGAATTAGGAGGCTTGAGGTTTCACAATGAACACACAACCGTAAACCAGACCATGGAGCTTGTGTTTCATAGCTCCATGACCAAACCAAGGCTTAAATGTCAGGGAAAAATCTGCATACTACAGGGCTGTTGGTGTAAAAGGGGGGGGGGACATGGAGCTATCCCTCAGAAATTTGATAAGACAGAACAGAAATATGAAACAGTCATTCTGAGTCAGGTCTTTCGATATTAAAAGGCCTGCATAAGAGGTTGATGGTTCAACAGCAGCAAGATCCATCTGTAATGACTGCAGCTACAAGTCTGGCATTATCACATGAGTGATCAACTCCGACACCCATGGATGACGTATCACCAATTCCAGATGACTATGCCAAGTATTCTACAACTTGATGAAAGCACCCCGAAACATGGGAAATCATCTATTCAATCAGTGACCTCCATATGTGTAATCAAGACATGTTCTCAAGGACAGCTCAAGATGGTTTAAGACTAGAACAAAATCACATGTACCGGTAAATGACAAATGGGTACTGACAGGTTTTAAAAGGATAATCCAACAACATTGTACCCATTGAATCTACATGTACCAACCTTCACTGAATATTATCTATAAGAAGTCAGCGTAGCTGTGATTCAAACACAGAAGTGAAGCCGTTAATGTGCAAACCCGCTGATACCAAGAACCGGTATCTATTTTCTATTTGTATTTCACCATCTGTGCCTGTGCATCATTATGACTTTTCCAAAGGGCACACCACTTCCAGTGGTTAGGGACACTGGTCCTGCTATGCTACCACACAGGGGAAAGTCTCCCAAATCTCACATATGGTAGAGCAACACAAACCTACATGTACTTGCAGTGAACTTTTGCACCAAGTGCTCTTTAGTCAGTTGGTGAACATGTACGGGAATTGTATTACACTTTAGCACATGTACTCATGGCACTTAATTCCGCCAACATAAAGTGTGTAAAATTTTGTACTGCAGGGTCGTTCCATCCAAATCAATACCCAAGTGACTGGAGACCAGAGCAATTCCTGCGTCCCTCCAGAAAGCCAGACCCTTTAAAAGGTGGACACAGTCCTCGGTATCCTCACTCTACATGTACTTGTTATGGGGAGGTTAGTGACAAAACACACTCATGCCATGAGTTCATGGCTTTCAACTCAGGAACTTAAGGACCATGATTGTGGGTCTTAAGGTTTAATGTATCCTTACGAGACAATGCACTCTGAACACCACGTTTCCTTCCAGCTTCGCACAAATGAGTCCGCTGCGTGCACGACCAACAAACAGATTCAAGGGAAACTACCAACAATGCATTTTTTTAGTATTTATCGTGTCTAACAGGCGTCCGGCTCCTAACAGGTTGGAAAATATTTACATACACGTGCATGTACAAACATGGGTATAAAGGATACCACAGTTTCCTATGCACCAAGTTTTTCTCATGTGGAAAAACCTGACCTGTACAGCCTGAGAAAACAAGGATGGAGTAGTCAAAAAAAAAAACACCAAAACCCATCAAATATCTGAATATTTGGTCGTACCAACCGGCAGATTGTTGATGAACCATATACAAAATCAGTTGTAATAACGCACACAATTGTACATGTACATTATAATTATTAATCTTGCCCTGTTGAAAATGTCTATTCCTTTTAAATTATTTACTGCATTTACTTTTTGAATTATTGTAAGATTTCTGTCACTTTTTATTTGAATCTGCTTGAAACAA